TTTTAATTTCAAATCTATATTTTAATATTCATTAATGCTTAGTTAGTCATGAGAGGCAGACAGCCCGAGTGTTCTCTATCATATCAATCCAACATCATAGTTTTAATCACCCTTAAATTAAATGGACTCTTCCATTAAAAGTCAACAATGATTGGATAATTGCTCGATAGTTTCTGCCAAATAATGAAAATTACCAAATTAATCACATGAATGCATTGTTTATACTGTCACCATTTTTGAGTAAATATAGGTTCAATTGAATTGATAGCAAAAAAAAAATGGATAGTAATATGTTAGCAGACGAATAATTAATTCTTTTTAGCCAACAGATTGACGGTGGAATAGATGTGAATGCAAATTCAGACGAGGATCTACTGCTAGTCAAAGGCTGAAGAAAATTTGGATGAAAAGGCAATCTTTTCCGATAATTCTGACAGTGAACAGTGAAGATTTTCGGTATGTTCAGAGAAGGATTTGACCAACTGTGTTAAGTGGATTGTACCCAAAAATACTTTACAAAGTAACTCTTGGGCTATAAATACTTTCAAGTCTTGGAGTGTGTGGATAAATAATCGAAATGTGGACGAAAAGAAAATTCTGAAAGATATCTTAGACATTGGTAATCGCTCTAAATAAGCCGATAAGTACGCCATCTATTTCGGTGCTGAATGCTACAAACTGTACCATAAAATTTTTTAATTGTCAAAAGAATAAATATTTATTTCTGCGTTCTTTGTATTATTTCGATCATCAACGTCATCAGCAGTTGATATAAACCGAATATATCAACCTGAGAAGACGTCATGACAGATTGATACAAGATATAACTGCTATACACATCAAAGAAAAAACTACCGCCCGTTGTATATCATACTAGTAACAACCCATTTGGCTTGTAGTTCTGCCCTATTGTAACATTTAGCATACAAAACTTAATATCAATTGCCATAATCATTGGAAATTGTTGAAAATTGATAGGCTTCTTCGTCTCATGACCTTAAACACTATATTATTTAAAACACTCTCTATCAAATAGAATCAAGATTATCTTGTCCCAAAGCATCGACCAATGAAATTGATTAGCTCTGCTTAGCTTAAGCTCGAAATGTTAATCATTGAACTCAGTCAAGACATTCACCTAATAAACATCTACATCAAGTTTAAACATTCTACCTCAATTAAAAGCAGAGTTGTTATGTTCCAAAGTCTTGACCAATCAAATTGCTTATCGCTCCTTAGCCTAAGCTGTAAATTCTCACCATCAAACTTAGTAAAGGTAATGATATAATGAATCTATATTCGGAGTTTCATCAATCTCACTTCATTATAACCAAAGTTATTGTGCCCCAAAGCATCAACCAATCAGATTGCTTATCTCTGCTTACCGTAAGCATACAATATTCATCATCGAACTCCATTAAGGCAATCACCTAATGAAAGCCTACATCAAGTTTGAACATTCTACATCAATTAGAATGAGAGTTATTGTTGTTTCAATGTTTCAACCAATCAAATTGCTTATCGCTCTGCTTACCCTGAGCAGAAAATGCTCATTATCGAACTTAGTCAAGGTATTGATGTAATGAAACTATACACAAAGTTTCATCACTCTCGCTTAATTAGAACTAAAGTTATCATGTCCCAAAGCATCAACCAATCAAATTGCTTATCTCTGCTTACCCTAAACAGAAAATGCTCATCTCCGAATTCCATCAAGGCAATGACCTAATAAACACCTACACCAAGTTTCAACATTCTAGCTCAATTAGAAAGAGAGTTATTGTGTCCCAAAAAGTGTGCTGGACAGACGGACAGACAGACAGACGACAGACAGACAGGCGGGGGACAAATATAAAGTCAACTGGATATTAACTTTACCCTCTAAAGCGTCCACAAGATTTTCAAGTGATCAAGGGCCATAACTATGGCAGTAATTATCGGAAATAGTTGAAAATCTATAGGATTCTTCGTCTCATGACCTTAAACACTGTGTAAATCGTTGAAAATCATTAGGCTTCTTCATCTCATGACCTTAATATCAATCGGATATTAACTTTAGCATCTAGAGCGACCACAAGATATTTCAAAGTGATAAAGGGACATAACTCTGGCAGTAAGTATCGGAAATCGTTAAAAGATAGGTTGCCAGGCAACAAACCAAACACCAACAGCAGCTAAATCGTCCGAGCAGTCGACAAGGGTTGTCGCATATTTATTCTTTTGTAGGTAATTCGGGGAATCTAATAGACAATTTCATACAGATGACATTATAATTTTCGTCGTTTGAGGGTTCACAAGGTTCTAAAAACTAAAACAAGGGCCATAACTCTGGAAGTAATCTACTGAAATTGTTGAAATTCAACAGGCTTTTTCGTTTTACTAATTCAAATAATGCATATAAATTTCATACAGATCAGAGGATAACTTTTGTCGTTCGAACGTTGACAAGGAACAACAAAGTGAAACAAGGGCCATAACTCACGGCGTAATTAACGGAAATTGCTGAAATTCAATAGGCTTCTTCGTTTCACTAATTTAAATGATGCATTTGAATTTCATACAGATTTGGTGATAACTGTTGTCATTAGAGCATTCACAAGATTCAACAAAATGAAACAAGGGCCATAACTCTAGATGTAAGTAACAGAAATTGCTGAAATTCAATAGGGTTCTTTGTTTTACCAATTTGAATGATGCATATAAATTTCATACAGATCGGATGATAACTTTTGTCGTTCGAATGTTCACAAGGTACAACAAAGTGAAACAAGGGCCATAACTCACGGCGTAATTAACGGAAATTGCTGAAATTCAATACGCTTCTTTGTTTTACTAATTTAAATGATGCATATAAATTTCATACAGATCGGTTGATAACTTTTGTTGTTAGAGCGTTCACAAGGTGCAACAAAGTGAAACAAGGGCCATAACTCCAGAAGAAATTAACTGAAGTTATTGAAATTAAATAGGATTCTTCATCTCACTAATGCAAACAACATATATCAATTTCAAAACAATCAGATGATAATAAATGTAGTCTGTAGAGTGTTGACAAGAAATTGTGGACGACGGACGGACGGACCGACGGCAATATACGACCACATTTCCATGTGGGCGTATAAAAATCAATAGGCTTCTCCATTTTATGACCTTAAACAATGTGTATAAATTAAAAGTCAATCAGATATTAACTTTTGTGTCTTGAGGGTCCATAGACATTTCAAAGGGATCAAGGCCATTAACTCTGGCAGTAACTATCTGCAATCAACAGGCTTCTTCATCTCATGACCTTAAAGGAGATAAATCGCTAATATTTGTGACCTACAAATTGACACAAATGGGTCGCAACATATATAATAATGTAATATGAATGTAAATAAACTGATTTACATTCAATCGTTTCCGATTTTACTCTAATTTCAATCAATCAAATGGCAATCTCTAGCGTCTGGTTATTCCTGTCTACACCGATAGTTTTTATTGCGCATGCTCTCCAGATAAGAATATGTGGTCACCGTTTGACATGACTTGTGGAATATATCTAACCTCGTTCTTCAGAGTCGTTTGTTACAAATTGCGCTGAAACGCATTATGGTACACGATTCGTGTACCAATCGTAAAATGTTTATTTTGCCTTAATTATTGGATATCAGAAGCCCATCTTTTCCCGGTAAGATCACAACACCAATGTTGATTTAAAGTGACAAATAATTCGTGTTTTCATTGTCAAAGGTTTTGGATGATATCGAGTTAGAGACTTAGCTACTTTAAACACTGTGTATAGATTTCAAGTCAATTGGATAATAACTTTAACATCTAGAGCATCCACAAGATATTTCAAAGTGATCAAGGGACATAACTCTGACAGTAATTATTGGAAATCGCAGAAATTCAATAGGCTTCTTCATCTCATGATCTTAACTGTAAATGCTATTTAAAACTGTATGTTTATTGACCTAATTCCAACCAATGTCACGTGTCATTGGCATTCGGCATTGAAGATTCTGTCGGGAAATATATTATTAATGACTGTTTCTCGGTGTAATCGATGTTCTATCAGGGGTTAATATATTCAGTGAAGATCTAAATTTACCTAACAACTGGTCAGTGAATCCATCAATAAATATGATCAAGTTATTATTATAATATCTACCAGCACCTGGAATTCATACGCAAACCATGCTGAGATCGTCTTCTTTAGCCACATGGCTAAATTTTACAAAGGCAGCTTACTGAACCTGTTATGAATAATCAGCAAAATTGTATTTTGTTTTTTTTACCGGATTATCAAAATTACTGTCACATGTGAGAATTACACGGATTATAAACCACATGGCAGATTCTCACTAAGGTACGGCTGTTGTAGTCGACAAGCAAGTTGATCAATTCCTTAATTAACAAGTAATAATTAACCGGTTGTAACTTAGCCGAAAGTAGATTGATTTATGATACTATAGTGGCCGGTTCATTGTTTTACCAATCGGCTAGATTTAACATCAATCGGCTAAAGCTGACAAAAAGCAGCCAATTAAGAACAGTGGTTTCAAGTGTATATGGTAGAAAATTGTCAGCAAGTGTTGTGTATATGTAAATAGTACAAAGAGGATTGTAGGCCGGGCATTTTAGTAAGAAATGTAATTATTTTCAACATTTTGTAAAGAACATTGCTTACATATTCTTTGGTCTGGTGGAATATTCTTATATCTACCCCTTTCAGTCTCGAGAGAGTGGGAATTGAGTCTTAGTGAAGAAATTGCAATTTTGAACTTCTTGTTATGAACATGTAACAAATAATCAGCAGCAGTGTTAATTTGGGTTTTAAATAATCCATATGTTCTTAATTTCACAACTTTACTTTCATAATGCCTTGACTCAAAATTATTTTTGGGTTTCTCAAATGGACTGTAGGTGTCAACTACAGAACCATATATCTTTTGTTGTTTTAAACTTCCAATTCTAATACTCAATTGTGACAAAGAAAATCTTATTAATAAAATTACCCCATGATGAATTCCTTCATTCATCTCCCAATTTTGCCTAGGTGGTTGCCAGTTATCTGTATCATCATTCCATCTCCATGATCCAGCATGATGTGGCTGATCAAAATCTACAAAAAAAACCCCAACAAATTATCATAAACTTGCAAAAATGCAGGGGCGGATCCAGGAATTTTTGCAGGAGGGGGTTTGCCAGGTTCCTGAGACAATGTATCTCCCCCCCCCCACACCACCTCGCGCATGGTCTATCGTCATTTTGGCGTATATACATACATTTTGACGTCGATTTTTATTATTAATTAACACAATGACACTGTGATTCAATTTCATTGATGCAAAGCATTAATTGTGATATCACATAATGTCTCGTGCTTTGAGTGCCCATTCTGTCCCACATCTGACGATAAAGGAGAAAAGCACACGGCCGAGAAACTTTTCTCATAAAAAGTGTTGATTTACAAAAAATTTTATGTAGATGAGCGGGGGGAGGGGGAGGGGGGAGGGGATCCACCCTCCAAACCCCCCCTCTGGATCCGCCCTTGAAATGTGATGCAGTGAAAGGTATCATTATAATCAATAGATTTATTTTAACAACTTCATGAATAAGTTTCACACTAATTAAATGTTATGTTCTTGAAGTGAATGTTTATTATAAACATTTTACACCAATCTGATTACAAGCGGTTGCAATGCAAGATACATCTTCATTTTGCAATAGATGGACAGAGAACTGGAAAACTCAATAGGGCTCATCCACTTATTATTGTCCTAATGATTCACATCGAATTTGAAAGAAAAATGTTAACTAAAGCATCGCTAACGCTGCAATATACGTCCACATTCCTGCTTTCATTGATACGGTACTTTTTAAAATAAAGTGAATGAAATACAAAATAGCTGCAAATAGCTGCTGATTCACATCGAATTTGAAAGAAATATGTTAACTAGAGCATCACTAACGCTGCAATATACGTCCACATTCCTGCTTTCATTGATATGGTACTTTTTAAAAATAAAGTGAATGAAATATGAAATAGCTGCAATGACTGTAATATGATAAGAGACTAGGTTTGGGTTCGTTTTGCCAGATTTAGAGACTAAATATTAACAAAGATAGCTTGCCAGGCAACGAAACGTACTAAATCATCCGAGCGGTCGACAAGGGTTGTCGCATATTTATTCCTTTGTAGGTAATTTACAAGACAGTTCCATACAGATCAGAGTTTAAATATTTGCCGTTTGAGGGTTCACAAGGTTCAACAAACTGAAACAAGGGTCTCAACTCTGAAAGTAATCTACAGAAATTGTTGTAATTTGACAGGCTTTTTCGTTTTACTAATTCAAATAATGCATATAAATTTCATACAGGTCGGATGATAACTTTTGTCGTTCGAAAGTTCACAAGGTTCAAACAAAGTAAAACAAGGGCCATAACTCTAGAAGTAATTGACGGAAATTGCTGACAGTCAATAGGCTTCTTTATTTCACTAATTTAAATGATGCATATGAATTTCATACAGATTTGGTCATAACTTTTGTCGTTCAAGCGTTCACAAGTTTCAACAAAGTGAAACAAGGGCTATAACTCTAGATGTATTTAACATAAATTTTCTGAAACTCAACAGGCTTGTTCATTTAACTAATTTAAACGATACATATAAATTTCATACAGATCAGATAATAACTTTTGTCGTAAGAGCATTCACAAGGTACAACAAAGTGAAACAAGGGCCATAACTCATGGCATAATTAACGGAAATTGCTAAAATTCAATAGACTTCTTCCTTTCACTAATTCAAATGATGCATATCAATTTCAAATATACTGAGCGCCATGGAAAACACATCACTTAGTTTTTCGTATAACAAAATGATCCTGTAAACATATCTTATTTATTTTGCTTCTTATTGTGAACAATATTTAAATGGGAACACATCAATAACAACACATTTGTACACTTATGGATGTTTAATCTGTAATCAAGGGTACAAAGTCAGAGGGGTCAAAACCAAAAGTACGACACAGATGTCCTCCACGGGCCATCATCATGGTAGGCTACAGCATTAACGCGACCCCTGCAAATGTGTAGGGCGGTCCGGTGATGAAATGTGAAGCCTCCCCACACCATTACACTTCCCCCACCCCATCGATTTGTTTCGAAGACGCAGCAGTCTGCAAAACTTTCCCAAGACGTCTCCACACACGTTGACGGCCATCAGTGTGATAAAGATGAAAGCGACTCTCATCACTGAAGAGCACACTTTGCCAGTCTACTCTTCTCCATGTCTGGTGTCCTTGAGCCCATATCAAACGCTGCTACTTCTCTTACGGTTTCCTACTTCTCTTAGACGACGTCTTACGGTGTTAGCACTTACTGGTACTTGTCTTTCGACGACTGCTGCACCTGTTCGAGTCGCTGGGCGGAATCTGTCACGCAGATGAGTGACCCGCATGTAGCGGTCTTGAGTCTGGGTTGTAACGCGTTGTGGACCAGGACGGTCACGTGTTGATTCAGTAACTGGAACACGATCCACCAACCTTACAATAGTGGACTGATGACAATTGAAGTGTCTAGCAATAGCACGTGTAGACATGCCAGCCCTGGATATTCCCATGGCTTCATTCCGTTGATTTTCAGTAAGTCTCGGCATCTCTAGCTCGATTCCTTCACACGTCCAACAACAAATTATGACAGATTGACGTTCCACAGTTCATGTACTGCACATTAAGTTGAAAACATGCTTTTAATTAAAGGGCTCAAACACAATGCTGCACGTGAATATTGGATTTTCATGTGCATCACGTGCTATTTTTTTTTGTGCACACGGGCCAATATTTTTTTGCGTTTGGGAGCATTGTGTGAAACAATAGTTCATAGTATTGCATAATATTATACATACAAAACCACCTAGTAATAAAATATTTGGGAAAAAAAAGTGATGTGTTTTCCATGGTGCTCAGTATAGATCGGATGATAACTGTTGTCATTAGAGCGTTCACAAGATTTAACAGAGTGAAACAAGGGCCATAACTCTAGCTATAATTAACGGAAATTGCTGAAATTCAATAGGCTTCTTTGTTTTACTAATTTAAATGATGCCTATAAATTTCTTACAGATCGGTTGATAACTTTTGTCATTAGAGCGTTCACAAGGTGCAACAAAGTGAAACAAGGGCCATAACTCCAGAAGAAATTAACAGAAGTTCTTGAAATTAAATAGGCTTCTTCATCTCACTAATGCAAACAACATATCAATTTAAAAAAAATCATATGATAAATTATTCTGTAGAGTGTTCACAAGAAATTGTGGACGACGGACGGCGGCGACGGCAATATACAACCACATTTCCATGTAGGCGTATAAAAAGGTGAGTGTGACACCGCCGCAGGGGGTCGGGGCATGCACCAAAATAAAATAGTTGCTGTCCTTACAGTATAAGGAATAAATATGCAAAGTTCCAAGATAATTCATTCAGAATTGCAGCCTGTAGATGATAAATACAAAAATTATAAGGAATATATATATGCCAAGTTCCAATACAATCCATTAAGAATTGTGGCCTGTAGGAAACACACACAAAGAAAAAAATGGGGGTGGCTCTGTCCCAGGGGGTCGGGAATTCACAAAAAAAATATGGATCATCCTTGGGGTATATGGAATAGATATGCAAAGTTTCAAAAGGATCTGTAAAGAATTGCGACCTGTAGGCCAAATACATAAAAACTTTGTCCACAACCTTGTTGTATGTAATATAGTCCAGCAGCCAAACCCCATTTTAAGCCTTGACATGGAAATATAGTCCACTTAACGTTTTTTGATGGATTATATATCTTCAATATGTGTAGATTTAGAATCTGGATGATGACGTATTTAATTCAAAGTTTGGATTTTATAGCAGCCAATAATTGATGGATTACATCTAAGTTATAGACAAAGATGTAATGATACATTGTAAAAAAAATTGTAAGTTGTTCATTGTTGCATACATTTTGGCCGACGTTATATGCATGTACAGTGCGTTAGAAAAAAATCCTAACCGATACAGAATGCCGGTAAATGTTTTCCCGAGATTACCGAACTCATTTTGTTGTTATTCAAACCGGCCTGTACATTATACATGTACACGTTTTCACGGCAGCATTACTATATTACAACTCCTTCAATATAAACATTTCGTTAAAATCTGAACAACGCATGTGAAATTGGATGTTCGGCAACAGAATTGAATACCTGGCGTAATTGGGACACCTTGACTAATTTTAATCGCAACTCGGGAAATTGAACGGTCCAACTAATTATTGAACAGACGTGAAAATTATGCGGGACGCTTATAATTACACACGTGTCGACAAACTAAACACTAGTTAATTAATGCTTGGTAATCAAAATTGCACGTTGAGATTTAAGTTGTATACAAGGACAAATTGAATGCTATTAGGCCAAATTCAATGATATTTATGAATAATTCTACATAGATTAGATAATAATGCTATTTACCCGAGATTCCACGGTACCAGTCGTATAGTGACTATATCATAATCTTTTCTAACATCAGAAATGGAAGTCCTCATTTTTGAAACCAAAATATCTCCATACTATTTATCTTTGAAATGATTTCTTCCTTCTCCAGTTCCACATCAATTGTATATGATACTTTTTGTTCTGCCATTCCCGAAAATAATTCAATTCAAAACTTTTATGTATGTTGACATTGTAATGTAAGATATCTCAGAACTCAAAATTGTTCAGCTGAAATTTTGTCTCGCTTTATGCACTTGTATGATCGCACAGTTCCTACAAAATCCCTTAAATCAAGTTCGGTTATTCGATAGATATATTTTTTCAATATATTTTTAGTTGATTGGCTGTCACATCACAATATGTATTCTTATAATCTTGGCACTATTATTTAACATGCTACAATTAATCAGACACTATACACTACAAGTCGGGTACCGACTAGTTGTGCTGTTTTTTCGATGGAATTCTCTATTTATCTTTTAATTTCAACCCATGTTAGGAAATTGTTAAAATTTGTTAAGAATCATGGAAAGTACTGGATTCGTACTGCCACTTTGTTCGAGTGTTTACTTTCCTGAGCGGTGCTG